CATACCGGGTGGGGGGTGTCAAGTGAGCTTGTGCAGTCTGTGCCACCAGGTCCTCACTGCTATGTGTGCTGCAAATCAACCCCCCACCCCCTTCCCCCGCCTCGGTGTAGACGTAGCCTGAGTTGCATGTGGGTGATAATACTGTTAGCCCTTCTATAGGGCTTATCTGGAGATCTCAGGTAAAGCATGTTGGGGACGGGGACGCGACACTGAGCACAGACTGGGTAAGTGGGTTGCCTGAGGTCAGGGGCAGGAATAGAATTTGGGTCTCCGTTGGCAGGGCTGCGAGCGTACGGTGCCTAGCCCAGCTGGGCCCTGACCCACAGCTGGGGCTCCTTGGTGCTGTGATAATAGCCATCATTAATAGCTGTGTCCCCCACCACTTCTCTCTGAACTGATCCCTGGCAGCGCTGATGCCCTCTGGTTGGGGTAAGTGGGCAGCTGATGCCCGCTGTTTGGTGGACGTGATGCATCTATCCCTCTCTGCAGGCTGCAGCAAGGCTGGAGAGGAGCCAGACAGGAAACAGCCTCTGATACACACGCTGTCTCTTGGTAATGAAGCAACCCAGCAACACTCGCCCTCCCCCACCCCCACCCCGTCCCACCGCAAAGGTTCCTCAGGCTGGAGTTTGCTGGACTATTTTTAACTCTGTTTCTTTGCAAAAGTTGTACAGTTCCTCCCAGGACCCCGGTCTGAGCAGGGCCTGATGGGAGCCTTTCACTGCCCAGGGCAGCGGCCTCTTCTCCTTTCCTATCCCCATCCTGCAGCCCGCTCTCACCTCTCCATCTGGATAGATCAGCACTGCCTGGGATTGGGTTTTTTGTATTGGTTTAAACTTCAGAGAGGATGTTCACGGTTTAGAGCGCTCAGCCAAGCCTCTAATTCCTCCCTCCTGCCCAGTGCCAGCGGGTTTATTTTAATGTCTGTAGAAAACTCTGCTGAGCTCTCTGATCAGGGCAAAACTGCAAGCTTGGCTAAACTCTCCCGCAAGGGCAAGGGGTGACCTGCTTTGCTGTGTGCTGCCGCCCGGATAGGCAGCCGTGGGAAAACCTCTCCCAGGGCTGGGCTGTGCGTGGGCTCAGAGGCCCAGTTTAGCTGGCGCAGGTTTATTCTATGCGCTCGGGTCTCACCCATCTAGCAGGAGCTCCCCAGCAGATTGCCTGTGTACTCCCTGCCCCAGGGGATAGGCTGGGCTGGCTGGTGGGAGCAGGAGCTCCCCAGCAGTCGAGGGGGTAGTGGCGGAAGAGCTTAGCGCCGATTGCTCATGGGAGAGGAGAGAAGGGAAGGGCGAAGGGATGTTTAACGCTGACCGAAGGGGGTAGATATTTGGAAACCGTTCAGCAGTTTGCTACGTGTGTTGGCATCAAAGCTCCCCTGGGACTTGGCATCCTGCTCCAAGGCATTTCTGGGACCAGACAGTCCATCCGTGGGGTCTGCATCTAAATCGTGGTCTGCGAGGATCATTCAGGGGAACGGCCAGACTGGAGAGCTAAGTATCTCCAAGTCCCTTCAAACGGGATATTCTGGCACCCTGGTCGGAGCCAGTTCTGACACCTGCCATCCCTAGATAACAGGTGTAAGCGCTCCTGGCTATGGAGATCTGTCTCCGGTCAGCGTACCCGTGGCTGTGGCAACATGGGTGCTAATCTTGGAGCGAAATCCGTGTCTCTTAAATTTGTTCCCTTCCAGGGGATGAGCTGGGCTCAGCTGCTACTTGGGCATGGGACATGGTTCTGTAAATAGGCTGCGAATGTTCTGCATTGCTGAGCCCTAGAAATCTGGATGCACCGCCCACGCACGCTCCCTCCCTTGTTAGGTGTTGCATGCAAAGGAAAATTTCCGGGGCCCTTGGTTCTGTGGAGGAAGCCGTGGCCCGTGCATTGGGTGTTCGGTCGGAACGTGAAGTCTGCCAGAGCCTTTGGAACAGGGATGTGCGTCTGGGGAGACTCTCGCCTTCCGATTGCAGGAGCCGCTTCACTCTGCGTTCGCAAGAGCCCTGGCCGCGGCGGCTCTGTGTAATACAGAAGGGACTGGCTGCATCCTTTCCGGGGGGGTCTCCGGAGGAGCCAGCGGTTAGGCCTGTTACAGGAGGCTCCATTTTCACTT